CTGCCCAATGAGGTATTGCAAGCACCTCCTCCGAGGAATTTCTATACATTTTTAATCAAAAACTAAACATGACAAACAAAAAAAACATGATGATAATAATATTGATGTGTATAAGCATGCTTGCGTCTGGCTGCGCCGATGCGAGACCGCCAGTGGAACCCCAGCGAAGGGTAAAGCACAAGGAAGTATCGAACGACAGGATTTTCTTGGTGAGGATGGGGGCTGTCGGCGGTGAGGCAAGGACCTGGCCCTGAATAGAAAGGCAGGAAGTCTCGAGCAGGGCTGCTGTTGTTGTTGGGAGCGGCGCCAATGCTGAAGAGAGTAGGGCGCTAGCCCAGCGTAAAACGCAACGAAGTCTCGAGCGGGAGCGTTTTTTTTTGTTGGGACGGCGGCTTTCGGCCGCGAGGAGGAACACCGCCTTGAGTAAGATAGGAGAGAAGCATCGAGCGGGAGCCGTGGTTTTGTCGGGACTGGGGCTGTCGGCGGCGAGGAACAGCACCGTCCCGAGGAAAAAGAAAGGAAATCTCGAGCCGGAGCGTTGCTCTTGCTGGGAGCGGCGCCAATTCAAAAGAGAGTTGGGCGCCAGTCCAGCGTAAAACGGAAGGAAGTCTCGGGCGGGAGTGTTGGTCTTGTCGGGGCGGCAATTTCGGCGGCGAGGAGGAACACCGCCTTGACTAAGAAGGGAGGAAGCCTCGAGCGGGAGCGTTGATTTTGCTGGGGGCGGCGCCGATGAGAGAAAGACTAGCGCGCCAGTCCAAGGTCAAATGGGAGGAAGTCTCGAGCGGGAGCGCTGGTTTTGTTAGGACGGCGGCTTTCGGCGGCGAGCAAGAACACCAGCCCTGAGTAGAAAAGAAGGAACTCTCGAGCGGGAGCGTTGTTGTTGTTGTTGTTGTTGAGGGGCCGGTTTTGGCGGTCCCCCAAGCAGGTCGAGCGTGAGCCTCATGTTCAATGAAAATGTAGCCAGCGCCTCTGCGAGAGCGCCAGAGCGCCTCTAAGGTGTCCAGCAATAACAAGTACTTAGTAATTGACATACTACAACAACAATAACAACAACAACAACAACAACAACAACAACAACAATTATCAGTTTTACTAGCCCGTGGGACCTCCGTTCTCACCAGTGCCTCTTTTTTTTCATACGACGCCCGCCAATACCCCCCACTTTGTGGGGGGGCCGGTTCAAGCTCTACCACATTTCCAAACGACTCTTCGCCACCACCCACACCCAGCTTCCCGCCCTATGACGTTCGGACACTTCACTTCGTGGCCTGCGGACGACCGTGGCTACTACACTGGCGCATGGTACAGTGACTTGTTGTGGTAACATTTTCTGGACGCTAGCTTAGTATACGACTTTTCCCCCTGTTCCAACACTGGACACCTGTACTGGTTTTTGGTGGTAACGTGTTCCTGACGCTAGAATAGGAAACCACGGTAAACCAGTACGACGCCAGTACTGTCTGTAGGTCCTACAATGATATGGACTGCTTTGGCTGGTGAGGCGCTAGCGTCTGATACAACGTTTTTCCGTTTCCGTACCACACAAGCGAAGACACATATTTTGAGTGGTACCACGTGGGTGGCGCCAGCATACCACAGGACTTGTTTCCGTTGTTGCGAGACGATACATGCTCATTATTGTTCTGTGGTTGTCGTTCCGGCCTCAATGTGGTATGCTGGCTCATTCGTCTACGAAATACACGTGAGTGGCTCTCTCTGGTTGGAGGTTATGATGGTTGTGGTTGTCCCGATGGTTGTCGCGATGATTGTCCCGATGGTTGTCCCGATTGTTGTTCCGATGGTTATCCCGATGGTTGTCCCGATGGTTGTCCCGATCGTTGTCCCGATGGTTGTCCCGATGGTTGTCCCGATGGTTGTCCTGATGGTTGTGGTTGTCCCGATCGTTGTCCCGATGATTGCCCCGATGGTTGTCCCGATGGTTGTTCCGATGGTGGTCCCGATGGTTGTCCCGATGGTTGTCAGCGATGCCGGATCCTCACGCCCCCCGCCGGAGGAGGTGAGGAGGAGGAGGAGCAGGACAAGGAGGAAAGGAGAGAAGGGGCGGCTCTGGACACATACGTGCTCTGGAGACATACTAAAGAGACGAGCCCCTGTGCTCATCATCTTCTGGCATACGCCTGTCTCTGATGGCGCGGATCGGGCGCAATGCTGCCAACTGGGCTCCTGGCAGCAATACATCAGGGGCCAAATCCGTGCACGTGTTTTTCGAGGACCTACGGTGCGATTCGTGCGATTGTATGATACGCGGTGCTGAAATTCTTAAGAAACCCAATGGTGTTTGAAGATTTCGGCGTGCGCGCGCGAAGAAAAAACGAATGTGTCCCATATGGTATTATTTGACAGGGATGATGGCCCTGGCATGCGCGCAACCGTTGTTGCAGAAGTTCGAAGCACGTGAAAAAGTTGCTCGCAAGAGCCCGTTTGACAGAAATGTTGAACAAATATTGGGTTTCCTAAGAAATCCGCAAGAGCGCGCGGGATGAATTTTTGATTTTTTTTTTGAACAACCATTAGGTTTTTTCATGTTTTTATGTTAAAATCGCTACGAAAACTAAGGTTTTGGAAGGATTTCATCTTGCGCGCGCGAGTGTGCACTTCGTGTCATTTTTTTGCAAAGGATTCTTGAAGTTTGGTTATGTTAGAACAAAACATGTCATTTTATATTGTTTTTTGACAGGGAAAGCGGGCGTCAACAAAACAACCGGATCCGGACTCCCCCGTTTTGCCTGAGACGTCCTCGCGAAAATGATGAAAATGTGGCTGCGGCCTAGGCGCGGCGAGGGGGCCGCGCACCAGGGGCCCCAACAATAATTATTCTTTAGAAGTAATAATGTTCAACAACAACAACAACAAACAATTACTAGCACGTGGGGACACACCGTTCTCACCAGTGCCAGGGTTTTCATAGGAGGCGGGCAATACCCCCACTTTGTGGGGGGGCCGGTTCAAGCTCTACCAAATTTCCAAACGACTCTTCGCCACCACCCACACCCAGCTTCCCGCCCTATGACGTTCGGACACTTCACTTCGTGGCATGCGGACGACCGTGGCTACTATTCAGGGCCCCGCGGCCGACGACGACGGCGTGCGCGCGCGAAGAAAAAACGAATGTGTCCCGCATGGTATTATTTGACAGGGATGATGGCCCTGGCAGGTGCGCAACCGTTGTCGCAGAAGTTCGAAAAAGTTGCTCGCAAAAGCCCGTTTGACAGAAATGTTTAAAAAGTGTTGGGTTTCCTACGAATCCGCAAGAGCGCGCGGGATGAGATTTTGACAATTTTTTGTTTGAAAACCATTGGTTTTTTTGATGTTTTTATGTTAAAATCGCTGCGAAAACTAAGGTTTTGGAAGGATTTCGTCTTGCGCGCGCGAATGTCCACTTTACCTTATTTTTGCAAGGGATTCTTGAAATTTGATTATATTAGAACAAGAAATGTCATTTTCTATTGTTTTTTGCAAGGGAAAGCGGATTACAACAAAACAACCGGATCCTGTACACACCCTCTTTTCTGAGGCTTCCTCACGAAAATGATGAAAATGTAGCTGCGGCCTAGGCGGCGCAGGGGGGGCGCGCACCAGGGGGCCCAACAATAATTATTCTTTAGAATAAATAATGTTCAAAAACAACAACAACAACAAAAACAACAACAACAACAACAACAACAACAACAACAGCAACAACAACAACAACGATAACGACAACGACAACGACAACGACAACAGCAGCAGCAACAACATGTTTTTGGTTGTTCGCTCTTATCTGCCCGCGTGCCATTCAACACGATCCCAAACCCTCGATACCCGCCCCCTTCATCTTCGATCGTGCCCCCTTTGGGGCATGTCTTTCTTACCTGCAGCGTGGATTTCGTGCAGCTCCTAAGGCAGTGAAGAGAGGACGGTTGGAAGGCAGGGACAAGGGAGGAGGGAGGAGGATGGAGCACGGGATTAGCAGGAGGGGGACTAGGTGCAGAAAATACGTGGCAGAACCAAACGGGCAGATCGGGCGGGAAGACCTTAACAAGCGGGTCGGGAAGGCAGGCCCAGGCGGCCAGGTCGAGCAGGCGGGTTGCTGAAGCGTGCATCCTGCTTGAATCGCGAGGAAGGCTCGAGCGACAGCGCGATTCTCAAATCAATCGTGAGGAAATCCACAGCGAGAGCGTGATTCTTGTGTGTGTGTCGAAGGCGCGGCGTTTGAACAAATTGCAAGGAAGTCCCACGCAAGAGCGCGAATTCTGAATACATTGTGGGGAAATCCGGCGCGAGAGCGCGATCTGGGAATCAATTGTGAGGAAGTATCAGGCGGGAGCCGTTGTTGTTGTAGTTCAGTGCCCATCAACGCAGTTTGGTGACACTTCGCTCTCCCTTGTAATATACATATATATATATATATAAAGGAAAGAGGAAAAACAAGGAAAGAAAAACAAAACCAAAAAAAGTGCGAGCCCCGGCAAAAGCATTTGAACTGCCGAGTATACCATGGTTACCCGGGAGGTGAGACCAACAACAGTTATGATGTAGAAATGGATTCCAACAACAGCAGCAACAACAACAGCAATCATGTATAGGCTGTTCGCTCTTATCTGCCCGCACGCCATCTAACATGGCCCAAAACATTCGATACCCGCCCTCTTCGTTTTCGATCGTACCCCCTTGGGTGTGTATATATATACATACATACATACATGTGTGCATCTTACCTGCAACGTGTCTTTCGTGAAGCCCCTACGGCAGTGGAAGAGAGGACGGATGGAAGGACGGGACAGGGAGGAGGGAGGAGGATGGAGCACGGGATTATCAGGAGGGGTGCTTGCAGCAGAAAGCACGTGGCAGAGACGGGCGGGTGACACCGACGGGCGCGTCGGGAAGGCAGGCCCAAGCGGCCAGGTCGAGCAGGCGGCTTTTAAGCTTGATTATCGAGTGAATCTCAAGGAAATCTCGGGTGATAGCGCGATTCCCAAATCAATCGCGAGGAAATCCACAGCGAGAGCGTGATTCCTGAGTGTCGAAGGCGCGGCGTTTGAATACATGGCGAGGAAGTCTCACGCGAGAGCGTGATTCTTGTATAAATTGTGAAGACGTCCCGCGCGAGAGTGCGATTCGGAAATACAATGTGAGGAACAATCAGGCGGGAGCCCCTGTTGTTGTAAACCGGGGGCCAGGGGCGCAGTCTGGTGACATTTCGCTTTCCTTGATATTAAAAAATGAGGCGAGCCCCAGGAGAAGGATTTTGATTGCATGAATCTTACGGTTGCCGAGCAGGGGGATTAACAATAAGTATCTTCTAGAAATGAGAACTCAGCAGCAACAACAACAACAACGACGACGACGACGACAATCCGCATCGCGGAAGCCCACTTCGGCCACGCACCCAGGGACAGTGAATGGCCGTTCGGCCCTTTCACTCTGATGATAATTTTCTTGATCGTATTCTCGCTGAAGATAAACATCGGTGAAGGTATCCTGCAAGTTGTTCGCTTCGCCGAAGAGATTCGGGTCCGCCAGAGCTCAGCATCGTCGAAGTTATCCCCAGTCCCATGGTATCTCAGCCCCAGAGGCCCAACCCCCCAGTTGGGTATGGGCCCCGAGAGGGAACAGCATGTATCCCCGTCTAGAGGGGTACCCAGACCACGACGGTGGGGGCAGGGCTTGTTTCAACGAAGGAGGAGGAAGAGGAGGAGTGGGAGGAGGAGGAGGAGGAGGAGGAGGAAGAGGAGGAGGAGGAGCAGGAGGAGGAGGAGGAGGAGGGGGAGGAGGAGGAGCAGGGGGAGGAGGAGGGGCAGCAGGAGGAGGAGCAAAAGGAGACAGAGAGGAGGAGGAGGAGGAGGAGGAAGAAGAAGAAGAGGATGCTCAACTGCCGCGCGCCCGTCGCAGTCGACAGGCCTTCATGAACTCCCTGCTGCCGATGACGGGCGGCTACGTCGACGCACGGGGCGTGGAGGTTCCGGCCGGGCAGGGGCTGCCCCTGCGGACGGACCCCGAGAGGCGCGGGCGGCGGCGGCTTGCCGCCGCCGCCGCCGCCGCCGCCGCAGCGGTCGTCGTCGCCGCCGCCGCCGCTGCCATGGTCGTCGCCTCCGTGTTTGCCGCCGCCGCCCGCCGCCGCCCGCCGCCGCCGCCGCCCGCCGTGGTCGTCGTTGTCGTCGTCGTCGTCGTCGTCGTCGTCGTCGTCGGCGTCGTCGTCGTCGTCGGCGTCGGCGGCGGCGTCGTCGTCGGCGGCGTCGTCGGCGTCGGCGTCGTCGGCGTCGCAATCGGCGCACCGGACGCCCTCCGCTCCTCGGAGGTCCCCGGAGACATCCAGTTGTCTCTGGAGGGCCCCCAGAGGCCTCCGGAGGCCCCAATGGCAGAAGATACGCGACGGAAGCATTACTCAGATCGACGGCGAGCGAGGGGGGACGTGAGAAGGAGGAGGCCTTCTCAGAAGGCAGCGGAGCTTCTCAGAAGCCCTCGCCCCTTTTGAGAGGTCTTCTGTGACTTCGGGGAAGGCTTCGGAGACTCTTCAGGAGGCCAGGGAACTTCCGAGCCCTCTGAGAAGGCCCGCCCCTTCTCACTTCCCCCCCGGGGTTTGCCGCCGATCAGAGGCAAAACAAAACAGCGGCAACAGCAACTGCCCTGGGAGGACGGGAGGACGTTCCGGAGGGCTCCACAGAGGTCCCAGGAGGCCTCCAGGGGCAGAAGAACAGGCTCAAAAGCATGCTGGTCGATCCTAGATCCACCCCCCAGCGCGCCTTCCTCCTCGCTTCGCTGTCCTCTTCCCACCCCCCCCCGCCGCCTCCTCCTCCTCCTCCTCCTCCTCCGTAGCCATTGTGGCGCAAGACGGATTTCATTTGTTTTGTTCCTGCAAGCTTGCTCATTTCGCATTTCGCTCGTAACTTTGTTTCTCATGGAGGAGGCTTGTGGTCATGTCTCTTACGTTGCTGCGAAAGCCAATCGCACTCTCGCGGCACATTCTGGTAAACATTATTGTGGCCTCGGATGCGCAGTGCATGATCATAGAAGCTGTTGTCATCGCCTACACGGCGCCGACTGCAACACATTGGTATAACAGTTCAGTTTTTACGACATCATACGGTGCCGTGGGAGGACTCTTTCTTTAATGCTCTCACGGACGAGCTTTCACAGGCTTGCCCTGGGTGGCCGGTCCCTCCCACGATTCTGGCTCGGCGTTATGCGGGAGTTAGGGTCAATCGTGATAGTGGATTGCGCAAACATGCTCCCGAGTTTGTTCCTGATCAGGCTGCCCTCAGTACTGCCACGGTTTCGGCGCCGTCACCCATTCTGCTGATTCCTGATCTTTTGCAGCAGGCGCAGGTCTGCTACGATGCACAACTTGCGTCTTATGCTGGTCTTGTCGAAGCGCAAAATAGCACCATTGGTCGCCTGCA